AAAAAAAAAAAAAAAAAAAATAATAATAATAATAATAATAAAATTCATAACTAGCACCCATATCTATCATATCGTGACAAATGTAAGTTTAATATGTTACTACAAAAATTGTATTCTTGTTATCTAGAAACTAATTTAGAAAATACCAAAGTAAAGTATATATAGTGTCAAAAAATAAAGATAGACTCGGTAAAAAAAAATGTTGCTCAAGAACATGGCTGCAATATCTACTGACCTAATTCGATTTGGGTTCCTAATCATCCTAAATTAATCACATAACAAGGATATTAAATTTACTATTGAAGCATGAATAATTTCACATTCAAAACTTGCAGAGCAATCAATTAGAAGCCTCCAAGAATCTCATTTCTTGATCTCTAAGCTTTTAACCCTCGGTATAATTCGGCCCTAGGCCATGCCCTATGCTTAAATCACCCAGGGATGCAACTATTGATCATACTCTGTTTAGAAAACTTATTTTGGTACATCAGTCTCTGAACTAGTGCAATTAAGTTCAATACTTTTAAGAAGCTACCAAAGGAGACCTATTCTGACATATATATATATTCCAGGCTTCAATAAATGAACTAGTGTCGAGCCGATCCGAATCATACACAATACCTATTAGTTTATGCTCACTCCGCTAAAGACTAGAAATTGTATTCATAACATGTCTAAAATCACTAAAGCAATATTATTTAAATTCCTTGCAATTACGTCAACTTGACTTGTCATCTTTATGTCTCGACTCGTCGGACATGAATTTGTTTTGATCGGGGCTAAAATGATCATTTCGTCTTTCTAATTATTTTCTTACCATGATTTGGTTTTTTTCTTGAAATAATTTCTTCACGGTGCATTCACATTATTAGTAATAAGACATCCCCAAATAACAGTAAGCTAAATTGTCAATTTTTCAAAAGTTCTTTTGTGCGGTCTTATTTATTTTTCTTGTTTATCTCATTTTCGTATATATTATTTCCTTGTTCCTTAGACCTCGAAGAGTTGTTGA